CCTCGTCTCCAGACTCTGCTTCCTCTAGGGAAGATGTATCAGTAGGATTAAGGAGATCCCTTCCACTGCCTGACAAAATCCTCAGTTGAAGTCAGCACTGCATACAGTGCAGGTAGAGGACCGCTTTCCCCTCCTGAGTTGCCTGACGGTTTGCCAGAATCTCCACGAGGCAGTCCAAAAGTCTTTTTCTGTGGCCTCTCTGAACTCCTCCCACGCCCGAGTTTTTGCTTTGGCCACTGCCCGAGCTGTGTTTCATTTGGCCTGTCTGTACCTATCAGCTGCCTCTGTAGCCCAGTAGGACTCCTTTCACCACCGGTGTCCACCATCTCATTCGAGGGTTCCCACCATGACAGGCACCAACCAGCTCAGTACAGCATGTCTGTCCAGCATCCTATCCGCCCACCTGATCCAACTCACCGCCAGGTGAGGTGGTGGTCAGTTGACGGCTCAGCCCCTCTCTTCACCCAAGTGTCCAGAATATACAGCTGTAGATTCAGAAGGCCAGATACGCTAAACTATTGTTCGGCTTATAAGCGCAGAGAACAGTCAGGACCCATTCCCTGAACTGCAGGATCAGGGAACAAACCCTCTCATCCACCGGGAAAAAATCCAACATACAGGCAGCAGGGAAGATACCCACCCCAGCCCGCCGCCTCTCACCACAAGCAACACCAGACTGAGACAGATTCCAACTCCTTTCCAGGAGACTGGTATCAGAGGCCAAGTCGTGTGTTGAGGAGAGCCCGACTATATCTAGCTGGTACCTCTCATCCTCATGATTAGCTCATGCTTCTTCTCCACCAGAGAGGTGGTGTTCCATGTCTCAGTCACTAGCCAAGAAATTATGCTTTACTTAAATTTACTTACAGTCTAATTATTTCTTTGTTTGCTGTAAAAAGCTGACTCGTTACATCCTTATTCTAGTGTCCCTACCTTTAGGAATTTGAAGATAAATATATTTAGATTGTCATTTTAAATAAAATATATTAAAATCTATTTAATTGTTGGAAAATGATGCCCTTAGTTGTGGGCCATATTATAAAGTGTTGCTATCTTTACTACTCAGGGCCACTGACTCTCTTATCAAGAAAGAGAGTCTTAATCAGAGAGTATTCCAATTCAAAATGTAAAACTGTTCCTTTAACTTTGGCTCTGACTGATCAGACTTGGCCTGACTGTTGTGTCCTTCTAGGCAAATATTAATTTTCACTTGCTGTCCTAGTTAGTCTGCAGGAAATCCTCTAAATTACGTTATTGACTCAACCTTGTTCACTGGAGAGTGAAATAGGAGACCACAGGGACTGCTGGGGTGGAAGCTGGGAGTCGTATTTGTTGCACCTGTGCCTGAAACATGCCGGCTTCTGGCCACATTTGAAGTTGCTGGATTTTCAACCTTATTTGGATTGTTGACCACAGTATGTCCCCGAGGAGAGTGAACTCGCTGTGCTGTATTCAGTTTCCTCTGCCTATCACAGTCCAAGACAGAGCTGCATTATATCAGCTTCTGACAACCTAGTGTTTCCATCTTATTACTGTAAACTTGCAATTTACACACATAAAACCCATCTAATTTTATGTGGAACATAATATATGACACTTCTTCATGTGACCGTCTGGCATGTGTGTGAAGACGGTGCACTGTGACACCTCACCGGCTGCCCTGCAACTCATCTCCTGGATAAATGATTGAAGAGGTCTGCAGGGATGTTCGTGCTCCCTGTCTCAGCAGGCGCTTTCTCACATTACCAAGCTTACTCACAACACACCCAACACTACCCAGGTGTGTGTGAGACTAGGCTTAAAGATCTGAAAAATGCTGGACAAAAACACAACACTGAATCAGGATCTGCAAAGTGTTTAATTCATAAAAAGCCCAAAGGAGACAGAAGGGGGCTGACAGTGGCTCATCTGTGTGATGGTGCAAGCGTTTAAATGGGAAAGAGCTACATGATATGCCAGATTATTATTAGAACAAACGCAGCTGTCTGAAGAAAATATCAGATCGCTGAACATCACACACACACACACACAGATGGCAGTGACTGTGAGCCTGCTGACAATGAATGAATGGCGTCTTTGCTCGGTGGCTTAAAGGCTGAATTCTAAGTGAGATGACTCATCCTCTCCTCAGGCCCCTCCCAGGAGAATCACATGAATGGGGAAGCGACTGAAGCAGCAGTTGAGCGAGTCTACTGCCATCTAGCGGCCACCAATACCCTGACATGGAAGGATTCATTCTTCCCTCTGCAAAAATATTCTTGGACACTTCTCAGATCATTTTTTCATGCTTGCATGGAGTATGTAGGATTTGCCCTGATGTTGTATAAGATGAAATGTTTTTTTGGTGGTCTCAAAAGCAGAGGATGGAGGCTGGTGAAAGAACAGATCAGTCACTTTGATACTGTTGTCTTCCATCATTTGTTAATCTTATATTGGTGTTCCCGATGTTTCACAGTTTTTCACTCCATCGGGACAGAGCGGAGCCCGTCGTGCTCAACAGTCATGGCCGATGCACTCTAAAGACGACTACACAGCAGGAGAAATGTTCTCCTCTTGCAGCAACTGCCAGCAATTGGAGCAACTTTTCACTTCAGTTGCGCAAACATCTGGGAGCACACTCATAAACATTTTCTCCAGAATATCTCAGGCCTCATAGCTTAACCTAAAAAGGAATAACATGCTGGGAGTGATTTATAAACTCTGAGCTCGATGAGATGAAGAACACAACGCAGCCCCGGTGGTGAAACTGCACAGTTAGGTTCAATAAGTATTTGACGATGACACATTTTGCCTCTGTGCACCAACACAGAGGACACTAAACACACTTTTAAGAAAAGTATTGACATAACTGTTCATTTTACAACCATTTATCCCATTTTTAGAGGCTCGTGTCAACATGTTTAATCTTCCAAAAGCTTATAGATCCAACTGTGAGCGACACCTGTTCTCAGGTGTCCTCACTTTCACTACATCCTGATTTCGTTTCTGTTGACTTCTCTTATCTACTCTCTGTAAAAGCCTGTAAAAGTCCCTCTGAAGTGAAGAATACTGTTGCTGCCTTTATTTGGCAAACGCAACGTTAGTTGTGCAATCATAAAGATGAAAGTGACCATCTCCTATTTGTGTCAGAATCAACGTGTTCATCCTGCACACGGGAGACTGGATGTTACTTATGAGAAAATAGCTGAACTTTCCCCCCATATAAGCTGCAAAGCCTCTGTTTAATATCGCTCCGCTCAATGCTGCCCTCCGGAGGACTGACGGTGTAAAATGTTCATCATTCAAACAAATACAAAATAAACACAGACAATCAGAAACGTTTAAAGAACAGCTGCCTTTATTCAAGCACAAAATCAGCTGATGTTCACATTATTATGAGAAACAATAAAAAACTTGGTGTCAATTTGAAAAGTGCTTTTTTTTTTTTTTTATTTAATTAAGTTGTACTCACAGAGCCAGCGTCCCACAGCGTGAAGTGGGGTTTTTTTAAGCTGCAGACGGCTCATTCAGTCAAAAGGCGCTTTCAGAGGGCAAACCACTGAGGATGTTTTCATTCTTCTTTGCTTCTGTGTCGAGGGAATGACCTGAAACACTCAACATTTTGATTAGAAGCATCTTTAAAACATGTTCAAAAC